TTCTTTGACATCAAGAAGCCCTGACTCATTCACCGTTTCTTTGACATCAAGAAGTCCTGACTCATTCACCGTTTCTTTGATATCAAGAAGCCCTGACTCATTCACCGTTTCTTTGACATCAAGAAGCCCTGACTCATTCACCGTTTCTTTGACATCAAGAAGTCCTGACTCATTCACCGTTTCTTTGACATCAAGAAGCCCTGACTCATTCACCGTTTCTTTGACATCAAGAAGTCCTGACTCATTCACCGTTTCTTGACTCAGAAGTCCTGACTCATTCACGTTTCTTTGACATCAAGAAGTCCTGACTCTTCACCGTTCTTTGACATCAAGAAGTCCTGACTCATTCACCGTTTCTTTGACATCAAGAAGCCCTGACTCATTCACCGTTTCTTTGACATCAAGAAGCCCTGACTCATTCACCGTTTCTTTAACATCAAGAAGCCCTGACTCATTCACCGTTTCTTTGACATCAAGAAGTCCTGACTCATTCACCTTTTCTTTGACATCAAGAAGCCCTGACTCATTCACCGTTTCTTTGAGATCAAGAAGCCCTGACTCATTCACCGTTTCTTTGACATCAAGAAGTCCTGACTCATTCACCGTTTCTTTGATATCAAGAAGCCCTGACTCATTCACCGTTTCTTTGACATCAAGAAGCCCTGACTCATTCACCGTTTCTTTGACATCAAGAAGCCCTGACTCATTCACCGTTTCTTTAATATCAAGAAGCCCTGACTCATTCACCGTTTCTTTAACATCAAGAAGCCCTGACTCATTCACCGTTTCTTTGACATCAAGAAGTCCTGACTCATTCACCGTTTCTTTGATATCAAGAAGCCCTGACTCATTCACCGTTTCTTTGATATCAAGAAGCCCTGACTCATTCACCGTTTCTTTGAGATCAAGAAGCCCTGACTCATTCACCGTTTCTTTGACATCAAGAAGCCCTGACTCATTCACCGTTTCTTTGACATCAAGAAGTCCTGACTCATTCACCGTTTCTTTGATATCAAGAAGCCCTGACTCATTCACCGTTTCTTTGACATCAAGAAGCCCTGACTCATTCACCGTTTCTTTAACATCAAGAAGCCCTGACTCATTCATCACCGTTTCTTTGACATCAAGAAGTCCTGACTCATTCACCTTTTTCTTTGACATCAAGAAGCCCTGACATCATTCACCGTTTCTTTGAGATCAAGAAGCCCTGACTCATTCACCGTTTCTTTGACATCAAGAAGTCCTGACTCATTCCACCGTTCTTTGACATCAAGAAGCCCTGACTCATTCACCCGTTTTTTGACATCAAGAAGCCCTGACTCATTCACCGTTTCTTAATATCAAGAAGCCCCTGACTCATTCACACCGTTTCTTTAACATCAAGAAGCCCTGACTCATTCACCGTTTTCTTTTGACATCAAGAAGTCCCTGACTCATTCACCGTTTCTTGATATCAAGAAGCCCTGACCATTCATTCATCCCGTTCTTCAAGAAGCCCTGACTATTCACCGTTTCTTTTGAACAATCAAGGAAGTCCTTGCTGACTCATTCACCGTTAGCCTGCTCAGTCCGTTTGACAGATCAGAAGTCCTGACGGTCAGTCACACGTTTCTTTGACAATCAAGAAGCCCTGACTCATTCACCGTTCCTTTGGACATCAAGAAGTCCTGACTCATTCACCGTTTCATTTGATATCAATGAACCCCTGACTCATTCAAACCGTTTTCTTTGATATCAAGAAGGCCCTGACTCCAAATTCACCGTTTCTTTGAGATCAAGAAGCCCTGACTCATTCACCGTTTCTTTGACAATCAAGAAGCCCTGACTCATTCACCGTTTCTTAACATCAAGAAGCCCTGACTCATTCACCGTTCTTTAATATCAAGAAGCCTGACTCATTCATCACCGTTTCTTTAACATCAAGAAGCCCTGACTCATTCACCGTTTCTTTGACAATCAAGAAGCCCTGACTCATTCACCGTTTCTTTGACATCAAGAAGCCCCGACTCATTCACCGTTTCTTTAATATCAAGAAGCCCTGACTCATTCACCGTTTCTTTAACATCAAGAAGCCCTGACTCATTCACCGTTTCTTTGACATCAAGAAGCCCTGACTCATTCACCGTTTCTTTGACATCAAGAAGCCCCGACTCATTCACCGTTTCTTTAATATCAAGAAGCCCTGACTCATTCACCGTTTCTTTAATATCAAGAAGCCCTGACTCAGTGTCGTGAACAAAAAGAAAGCCCTGCCGGCGGGGTCTTTGGGGCCTAACAGGTTAACCCCTGACACAGTTTCCTGAATATTGTTGTGTTCAACAGGATTTTATATATATATATATTTTTAGCAGTGTGTAATTAAGGTAATATATATATTAGATATTAAAGTATAAATATATTTTTAATACCTTGTCGTCCTCGATCACGCAGTTGATCTGAAGTTTCTGGATGCCGTAACCCACGGGCAAAAGTTTAGCTGAAACACATACACATTAATTATTATAATACATTTACATTCACTTCTATATATATATATATATATATATATATATATATATATTAGGGCTGTCAAACGAACCTAACCCTAAAAATTTTAATCAGATTAATCACCATTTGAACTAAGTCCAAAATATGCCATTTCTTGATGTATATTGTTGTGGGAATGGAAAGATAAATGAAAGAAGGCGGATATATCCATTTAACATACAGTATGTTCATTATAACATTGTTCTGTGTGTCAAAATGAAAGACAGCCCACACAGCTATCAATCATCAAACCGTGGGGTCTCATTTCATTACGTGTTGGTTTCTATCGATTCTGATTGGCCAGAAGACATTATCAAAGATGTTCTATTGAGAAGACGATCACTACGTGACAAAAGTTTTCAAAACCGTTTCTGGTCTTCGGTATTTCCAGACAAGTGGCTGAAATCAATCTGACTAACTGCTGTCTGTGCAATTTACTCCGCGCGAGTTGGCGTGCTTTATTTTTGCTTACTTTAACATCATTTTTCATGGTGGGGCTAAGCCATTTCTTGGTATGGCTGTAGCCTACCCCAGCCATACCCTGTAGCCTACCCCAGCGCTGCCACTGGTGGGATGTATGTATGCGTTAAATATTTAACGCAATTAATTCAACAAATTAATTACCGCGATAATTTTGACAGCACTTATATATATACACTAATGTACAGTCAGTATATAATGCAGAGAGCCGGTTTCAGCTCAAAGAGAATCATCACATATTTCAGCCGAAAGATGGTAGAGAACATCATCAACCTGCGCTCTGCATTAATATATATATATTAAACACTCACACTGTCCCCAGAGCAGCCCCTCCATGCTGATGCTCCTCACGAGAGCCTCCAGCTGCTTCATGTCTGTCTCGTCGTCCCACGGCTTGACGTCCAATAGGAGCGAAGACTTGGCGATGATGGTGGGCTCTGTGGGGGGAGGGGGAGGAGTCAGTTACCGTGGCAACAGATAATCAGCCGATTGAAAGGCAGCAACCCGAGTCTCTCAGAATAAAACATGGTGTCCATCAGGGGTCAGTCGAAAGATGGTGATTGGTTAATCATCATAGAGCAGCGCAGGGATTGGTCGGTTTCTATCCGTCACTCACTTTTTGATTTCTTAGCTGCATACTGAGCCAGACGTTCCTCCTTCAGACGCTCCGCCTCCTCGTCCTCCTGACAGACACAGGTAAACACACAGGTAAACATAAACAAGACTAAACGCAGGCAGCAACACTTCAGACTGTGACATCACGATGAGCTCACCTCCTCGTCGGAGCCGAACAGGTCGATGTCGTCGTCGTCTTCCTCCTCCTTGGGGGCTGAGGGGGCGGAGCCTGAGGTGGTGTCGGCCAATCCTGGAGGGCCGTACTGACCGAGAGGCTTCTTCACACCTGGGAGGCTGAGAGAGTAGGCGGGGCTTAACACAGTGAGATCACACACACACCTGGGAGGCTGAGAGAGGAGGTGGGGCTTAACACAGTGACATCACAAACACACCTGGGAGGCTGAGAGAGGAGGCGGGGCTTAACAGTGACATCACACACACACACACACACCTGGGAGGCTGAGAGAGGAGGTGGGGCTTAACACAGTGACATCACACACCTGGGGGCTGAGAGAGGAGGCGGGGCTTAACACAGTGACATCACACACCTGGGGGCTGAGAGGAGGCGGGGCTTAACACAGTGACATCACACACACCTGTGCTCCTCACCTGCTCCTCTGGCTGTAGGACAGGATGTGGTGGTACCAGCGCAGTGCATGGACCAGGTCAGCTGACGGGGTGCCGGACAGGGAGTCGAACACCGCCACGTCCGCCTGAGAGGGGACGTACCTGCACACAGGAAGTGATGTCAGCACACAGGAAGTGAGGTCAACACCTGGGAGAGTTGCCTGTTACACTGAATAATTAATATATAAACACAGTGAGCAGGTTTCAGATCAAAGGGTGACATCACGGTTCAGCCGAAAGATGGTGAGTGTGATCATCATCAACCTGCACACACACACCTTGGTACTAAGTTAGCATCACTAACTAGCATTAGCTCGCTGAAAACGTTACCCTTATTTAATCTAATGAACGGCACTGATATGATCTTCATATGAACTACTAGCAGTTAGCTTCAGATCACTGGAGTAACATACATTTAAAAACAGCTTCATTATAATTATTAAAAGGCCTCGTTAAAATGATATTTATGGCACTTTTAAAACTGCTGCTACTAGTTTTAGTTTTATTTATCATGTGTTTACCTGCTGTGACGCTGTGCCTGTCCGCGCTGCGGGACTAATAAAGGTTTTCAGATTGAAGTCACACGTCACAGCAGCTCTGTTAGCACCATGTGGCTGCTTGCTAACACACGACACTTCTTCAGCCTATAGACCATCAATAACTGGGCTGAAACTAAACTCTAACTCTTAAGAGGACAGATTACAGTCTTTGAGACTGATCCGCGGACACTTTAGAGCCCCGTGACGGTTCATTTAGTCACATTTAACTCTGCCAACAGCTAACTGTTAGCTCAGCGCGGAGCCAAGATGGCTGCGTGTGTCTGCAGTTTCTCTCCCTGTGAATAAGCCTTATTTCTTGCTCTCTTGTGTTTCTGTCTCACCCCTCGATGTAGCTGCGCTCCGACAGGAACCCGTTCAGCACCTTCAGCCCGGAGGCGGCTCTGAGGTCTCCGAAGCCCATAGTGAAGCAGAAGATCCGAAGGGGGGAGCAAGGAGTCGCGGAGAAGGTCCAGAAGAAAGAGGGAGGAGGCGGGAAGAGCCGCCCTTATACCCGGAGAGAAGCTCCTCCCCCCGGGGGAAGAGCCGCCTCCTGCGCGCTGTTCCTTATATATACCTGTCCCTGAGTACACATATTATATATACCTGTCCCTGTCTCTGAGTATTTAGAGTATTTATTAAACGCATATTATATACGTGTCCCTGCCTCTGAGTATTTAGAGTATTTATTAAACGCATATTATATACGTGTCCCTGCCTCTGAGTATTTAGAGTATTTATTAAACGCATATATGTGTCCCTGCCTCTGAGTATTTAGAGTATTTATTAAACGCATATACGTGTCCCTGCCTCAGGTACTTTGAATATAATCTCAGGGCAGTTTCTGATGATGTAAATCAGCAGAAACTCAGGTTCAGAAATGCAGTCAGACGGGTCACATGGTCCCACGGGATGCTCTGATTGGCTGCTGCTGAACACACCTGAGAGACACTGGACAGGTGAGGTTCAGTCTGTCGTTTTGAGAGAAGAAGAAGGTCCGAATAAAAGGAAGAAGAAGAAGAAGAAGAAGAAGAAGAAGAAGAAGAAGAAGAAGAAGAAGAAGAAGAAGAAGAAGAAGAAGAAGAAGAAGAAGAAGAAGAAGAAGAAGAAGAAGAAGAAGAAGAAGAAGAAGAAGAAGAAGAAGAAGAAGAAGAAGAAGAAGAAGAAGAAGAAGAAGAAGAAGAAGAAGAAGAATGGGTTTGTCTCACAGCTCCAGTGCCCCTCAGGTAAATGTCACCTGAGCCCCTCAGGTAAATGTCACCTGAGCCTCTCAGGTAGACCTATCTGAGCCCCTCAGGTAGACCTATCTGAGCTCCTCAGGTAGACCTATCTGAGCCCCTCAGGTAGACCTATCTGAGCCCCTCAGGTAGACCTATCTGAGCTCCTCAGGTAGACCTATCTGAGCCCCTCAGGTAGACCTATCTGAGCCCCTCAGGTAGACCTATCTGTACAACAGACTGTGATCACATTGATTATAATGTATTGTACATTGATGCGTGTTGATGTGCACCTGTCCTTCCTGAGTTCAGGTGATCCTGATGGGTTTGGACTCTGCAGGTAAATCCACTCTGTTGGCCCGGCTGCTGACCGGAAAGGTGAGCCTCATGTTTACACACTAAACAATAACAAGTGTTGTTGTCTCCAAGGTGTAAACAATAACATGTGTTGTTGTCTCCGAGGTGTAAACAATAACAAGTGTTGTTGTCTCCGAGGTGTAAACAATAACATGTGTTGTTGTCTCCGAGGTGTAAACAATAACAAGTGTTGTTGTCTCCGAGGTGTAAACAATAACAAGTGTTGTTGTCTCCGAGGTGTAAACAATAACATGTGTTGTTGTCTCTGAGGTGTAAACAATAACATGTGTTGTTGTCTCCAAGGTGTAAACAATAACATGTGTTGTTGTCTCCGAAGTGTAAACAATAACAAGTGTTGTTGTGTCCCAGGTGATGGACACGTCTCCCACCATCGGCTTCAACGTGGGGACTCTGGATCTGGACAAGAAGACGTCTCTCATCATCTGGGACGTGGGGGGGCAGAAAAGCATGAGAGCCAACTGGAGGTAAACAACAACAACAACAAGAGACCAAAATATATACAACAAACACGTAAACAAACCCCCCCTTCAGGTTCTACCTGGAGGACTGCCGGGCCCTGGTCTTCGTCGTGGACAGCAGCGACCCGGCTCGACTGCCTGAGGCCCAAAAGGTCCTGAAGAAGGTTCTGAGTGAGGAGATCCTCAGAGACGTTCCTCTCATGGTTCTGGCCAACAAGAAGGACCGGCCCAACTCCATGACCATCAGGGAGGTACGGAACCAGCAGAACCGCCTGCAGAACCAGCACTACATCATTCAGAACCAGAACATACAGAACCAGAGCGTAAAGAACCAGCACTACATCATTCAGAACCAGAGCATACAGAACCAGCACTACATCATTCAGAACCAGAACATACAGAACCAGAGCGTAAAGAACCAGAGCATACAGAACCAGCACTACATCATTCAGAACCAGAACTAGTGTTCTCTAGTGTTCTCTAGTGTTCTCTCTGTTCTCTAGTGTTCTCTAGAGTTCTCTAGCGTTCTCTAGTGTTCTCTAGTGGTCCCTAGTGGTCTCTAAGGTCCCCTCTCTGTCCTCAGGTCTCTCAGCAGCTGGACCTGGCTCAGTACGTGGACCGGCTGTGGGAGATCCAGGCCTGCAGCGCTGTGCAGGGTCTGGGCCTCCAGCAGGCCTTCCTGTCCGTGCACAAGCTCATCAAGAAGACCTGAAGACCTGGAGACCAGAAGACCACATCAAGAAGACCTGAAGACCTGGACACCTGGAGACCTGCAAAGACCTGAACACCTGGAGACCTGAAGACCACATCAAGAAGACCTGCACACCTGAAGACCTGAAGACCACATCAAGAAGACCTGAACACCTGGAGACCTGAAGACCACATCAAGAAGACCTGAACACCTGGAGACCTGAAGACCACATCAAGAAGACCTGAACACCTGAAGACCTGAAGACCTGGGGCCTCATTTATAAATGGTGCTCAAAAGATGGCGTACGCCAGTTTCTACGCAATGCTTGTGATTTATAAAATACTAACTTGAGGGGAAAACGTGCGGTCCTCCACGTAAACTCTAACCCATGCGTACGCACTAAGCACAGAGACGGGAGAGACGAGAAACCGCGAGCCCATTGGCAGAAGGAAGGATGGAGAGAAATAATACCATGAATAAAATGTTACCTCTCATTTATCATTTATGAAGAATTCTTTTCAAACATTGATTAAAGCCAATCTTAAAAAGATGAAACAAACGCCTGTTTGAGACTCCTCACACACATTGGAGAAATACATAAATATGGAAATGTTATTGATCACCCCTCGATGATGTTCTGCTTTTTATTTAAATAAAATAAATAATATTTCACATCAAAAGAAACAACAATGTTTTAACAAATGGTATTAAATAATCTGATGACAGAATAGCTGAAACTTTAACTAAATGAATAACTCAGTTTCCTCTAATCATTAACCCAGTGGTTCTCAAACTGTTTCTGTCAGGCCCCCCTGGAGACGAAGCCTGACTATTTGTGTCGGCCCCCCCTTTGGAGACGAAGCCTGACTATTTGTGTCGGCCCCCCCTTTGGAGACGAAGCCTGACTATTTGTGTCGGCCCCCCCTTTGGAGACGAAGCCTGACTATTTGTGTCGGGCCCCCCTAACACTAATAGTCAGGCTCAGTGGCGGCGCCAGAGATTTATTTTGGGGTGCTGTGGGGTAGCTTGACGTTTCATAGAGGGTGCTCAAACATTTAGGGTTTACCATTAATGTACCGGGCGCTACAGAGGAATGTTCTACTGCAACACTCCCCACGCAAATACACAGTGTGACTGTTACAATGAAGGCTCGATATCAGCTCACGGCATATAGGTGTAAGCAGGGGTCGAGTGCTATTTTTATAGGTTACTATTATTTAACAACTCTTTTTATTGGGTTCTTTTATTTGAGGTTAAGTACATTGTCAGAATAAGTGAGAAATGAATTGAACTTCTGTTAGACAGCTATCATACTGAATAAATATTTACTGTGAATGTATGGCATATAGCTGTCCAACAGAAGATAAATCCATGTCTCACTTATTCTGACAGTGTACTTAACCCCAAATAAAAGAACCCAATACAAAGAGCTGTTAAATAATAGTGAAGTCACGTTGTAACAACAATAACTCATCTCTCTCCAGTTTTCCTTTTGAGCTTTGCCAAAAGCCACTGTGTCAAGTGTCCATCTTGGGTTGCCGTCCGGAGTTCTCCAATATGGCGAACCATCTCGCACATGGGCAGTACAGATCGGGCAGGGGGACGGATCGGGTAGTGACAGACGCATTTGTTTGTCTTTTTGCATGTTAGAAACGAGTTGGCGACACTAAGACTGCGAGATAATGTTTGTGTAGCAACAATACAGACCTTTCTCTTTCTCAACTCGCTACTCGGAGGCAAGTCGCTGTCAGCCTTGTGAACACTCCGATAATGCCTCTCCACGTTACCTTTCTTTGGCAGAGCGCCGCTTGCTTTACAAATAATAACCTTTGAATGTGAATCACAACTAAATATTCTCCCTCCCGTTCTGGGTGGAAGTGGTTTGTCTTTAGCTTCTTGCTCGGTCCCGCACGCATTTTGTTGTTTGTCTCTTTAACTTAATTTGAGTTTTCCTGGCACTTGACTGATTTTGTATCGCTTTGCATTCTGGGTTAACAGACTGGAAAGCGATAGGTCGCTTTTTCTGTCAATCAAGTAAACTCCTGAATTAAGTGGCAGGGAGGCCAAGGGAGGAGGGATCAAACCTGTCTATTTGAACAGAGCTGGATTTTTTTTGTTATGAATGACTCGCGATCTACCAGCATTGCCCCCGCGGTCGACCGGTTGACCGCGGGGTCGACGTACTGGGCAGGGGTCGACGTACTGGGCACCTCTGGGTTAGATAGATACGAGCATGGTTTTATATGTTTAATCGTGTTCTATGCCGTTTGCTAAGACTTGATAAGTCACTCGTAAAACATAGGAGGTATGGAAACTAAGAACAGCATCTGTGGTAAATTGTACAGCTAATCTAACACAACACATTGGTTGTATTTCCTTTAACTGGTGGATATAGAGTTGGGGGGGGGTTGAGACGCACAGGCTGCAGTGGAGAAGCAGACAGCTGGGACACAAACCACCAAATACAGAAACATAATTCAGATCCAGTCGTCATGACTCCACTCCGGAGGGATTCCCCGATCACTTCTTAGTCTCTCATCAAGGGGGGTGTCTCCTGTCCCCGGTGGAAACACACTGCCTGAGGAAGGCTATGTGTATTATTTTTGTCATGAACCTTTTTCGGACCACTTATTTATTTACGTTGGTGACGATCAGACCTCCATGCTGCTACTCTGTTCAAACTGCATCCACCAAACAATATGATTTATCTCCACCTCCCCAAAAGAACCAGAACCTGACACGGTGTGAGACGTCTGTTTTAGCTGTTCTGTCCTCATTTCCTGCGATCTCCTTCATTCAGTCAGTCAGAATGAATGGATGGATGAATGGATGGATGGATGGATGAATGAATGAAAGAATGAATGAATGAATGGATGAATGAATGAATGGATGGATGAATGAAAGAATTAATGAAAGAATGAATGAATGGATGAATGAATGAAAGAATGAATCAATGAATGGATGAATGAAATAATGAATTAAAGAATGAAAGAATGAATGGATGAATGGATGAATGGATGAATGAATGGATGGATGAATGAAAGAATGAATGGATGAATGAATGGATGGATTAATGAAATAATGAATGAAAGAATGAATGGATGAATGAATGAATGGATGAATGAATGAATGAATGGATGAATGAAAGAATGAATGAATGGATGAATGAATGAAAGAATGAATGAATTAATGAATGGATGAATGAATGAATGGATGAATGAATGCAAGAACGAATGGATGAATGGATGAATGGATGAATGAATGGATGAATGAATGAATGGATGAAAGAATGAATGAATGGATGAATGAATGAAAGAATGAATGAATGGCTGAATGAATGAATGAATGAATGGGCGTTTCTTTGACTATTTATAGGCAAATATGGGCGTTACGTGAAGCCCGCAAAAGCTGCACCGCATTTCGAGTTGATTGTGATTTATAAAGGGAAACCGGCGTAGGACGTGCGTGCGCAGTGTTTTATAAATCGGAATATTTTTGTGCGTATTTATTTGCTTTGTCCTACGTAAGCCACCTTCCCACGTGAATCCTACGCAAAGCTTTATAAATGAGGCCCCTGAACACCTGCAAAGACCTGAATACCTGCAAAGCCCCCCTGTAGACCTCAACACCTGCAAAGCCCCCCTGTAGACCTGAACACCTGCAAATACCTGAACACCTGCAAAGCCCCCCTATAGACCTGAAGACCTGCAAAGCCCCCTGTAGACCTGTAAAGCCCCCCTGTAGACCTGTAAAGCCCCCTGTAGATCTGAAGACCTGTAAAGCCCTCTGCAGACCTGTAAAGCCCCCTGTAGACCTGAAGACCTGTAAAGCCCCCTGTAGACCTGTAAAGCCCCTTGTAGACCTGCAAAGCCCCCCTGTAGACCTGAACACCTGCAAAGACCTGAACACCTGCAAAGCCCCCCTGTAGACCTGAAGACCTGCAAAGCCCCCCTGTAGACCTGAACACCTGCAAAGACCTGAACACCTGCAAAGCCCCCCTATAGACCTGAAGACCTGCAAAGCCCCCTGTAGACCTGTAAAGCCCCCCTGTAGACCTGTAAAGCCGCCTGTAGACCCGAAGACCTGTAAAGCCCCCTGTAGACCTGTAAAGCCCCTTGTAGACCTGTAGACCTGTAAAGCCCCCTGTAGACCTGTAAAGCCCCTTGTAGACCTGTAAAGCCCCCTGTAGACCTGAAGACCTGTAAAGCCCCATGTAGACCTGTAAAGCCCCATGTAGACCTGTAAAGCCCCCTGTAGACCTGTAAAGCCCCATGTAGAGCTGTAAAGCCCCATGTAGACCTGTAAAGCCCCCATGTAGACCTCTAAAGTCCCCTGTAGACCTGTAAAGCCCCATGTAGACCTGTAAAGCCCCATGTAGACCTGTAAATCCCCATGTAGAGCTGTAAAGCCCCATGTAGACCTGTAAAGCCCCATGCAGACCTGTAAAGCCCCCTGTAGACCTGTAAAGCCCCATGTAGAGCTGTAAAGCCCCATGTAGACCTGTAAAGCCCCCTGTAGACCTGTAAAGCCCTCTGTATACCCCCAGTATTTATACTGCAGTTAATAAGTGGACCTGTGAGTGAAGATGGAATAAAGGTTAATATAAATCATGGCCTGATCATTTGAAGCATGCAAGCTGGTTTTTATATGAAGTTATTTGTATTAAAACCTTTGTAAACCCTGTTCCTGAGTCTCTGTGGGGGGTCCGGGGTAAACCAGAAGAAGACAGGGGTCAGGTTTAATGAGGTGAGTTGTTTAATGTTGATTATTACACAGCTTGAATACTGGATTCTGATTGGTCGATTGGTAATTCTCGATAATAGAACAGTGTCTACTTCCTCTTTCTGTTCTCCCCGCGGTCCCCTATATGCAGAGTCCTCAGACTGAACCAGGACTGGACCAGCAGCAGAACCGGGACCAGGACCCAGAGCCCGTTAAAGAACACCAGGTAGACCCACAGGTAGAGGGGGCGGGACGTGTCCAGGTGAGGACTGCCTATCAGCCAATCAGGACAGAAGGTCATCCAGCCACCGTACAGCTCGCACACACACAGCGCCACCTGCAGGAAGTGTCTGGAACACAGGAAATAGAGTTAGAACCAGTTCTACAGGTAGACCAGTAATACAGGTAGACCAGTTCTACAGGTAGACCAGTTCTACAGGTAGACCAGTACTACAGGTAGACCAGTTCTACAGGTAGATCAGTTCTACAGGTAGACCAGTACTACAGGTAGACCAGTACTACAGGTAGATCAGTTCTACAGGTAGACCACTACTACAGGTAGACCAGTACTACAGGTAGACCAGTTATACAGGTAGACCAGTACTACAGGTACACCAGTACTAAAGGTAGACCAGTTCTATAGGTAGACCAGTACTACAGGTAGACCAGTACTAAAGGTAGACCAGTTCTACAGGTAGACCAGTTCTACAGGTAGACCAGTACTACAGGTAGACCAGTTCTACAGGTAGACCAGTACTAAAGGTAGACCAGTTCTACAGGTAGACCAGTACTAAAGGTAGACCAGTTCTACAGGTAGACCAGTTCTATCTGGACTGGTGCGATACTTCCCCGGTGCTGGAAGGCCCTTTCTTGGGGGGGATCACCCTGCTCTTCAGATCCAACTGATTTAAAACTGGGGAAGCCAGAAATGGTGCAAACGATTGGTTTTAAGTGGGTTGGTTGGTAAGTTATTTTATATTACACCATAACTGACTTTACAAAGTAATAAGATAAATACTAATACGGTTTAATAATGGTACAATTTATATACTTTCCCATAAGTTCATTTCTATACTTATAAAGTAAGAACAACTACCACTCACAACTAACAAAACCACTGGTTTCATGTGGGTCTGTTAACCCAGTCTCTCTCCACCTTAAAGCTCACTGACCTGACCGACCTACCAATCCTTTTCCCCTAGTTGGGAGCATTTAGAAAACAACACAATACCAGGGATTTGATCAGCCCGGCGGGGCCACCCCAGGGTGAGGGTGTCTGGTGATAATGGCTGAAACACTCGATGATCTCTGGGTCCACTACTGAGGATGTGTTCCAAACAAAACTCATAAAGGACTATTTTGTTCCCCAAATACTTCTATTTGGGAGTACAAAAAACAACTGACTATCTTTCACTATGGCTATTTTAACCATTTACTCCACACAGTGTACTCCTTCTGTTTTTATGCAGACTAATAATTAGGGAAATAATAATTCTCCATTTTTCAGCAATAAATTTAGCACCTTACCTTTAATCTCACTACTAAACTTAACCACTCAGACTGTATGCCTAAACTTAAGATAATATCCATCAATTAGTAGACCATCTTATCTTTAATTTGATCTCTAAACCTAACCAGTCTGGCTACTTGCCTAATCCTAATATACATCTCCATAAAAAGCTATCTGACTTTCAATTCAAACAATTAAAATCCACTTATGGTACACTCTTAACTAAATATCAAATAATAGACCATCTTCGGTCTAACTGCGGACTATTTTGTCCCCCAAGAATACCAGCTTACCCTTAATCTGACCATTAACCTTGACCACTCTGGCTCTTTGCCTAAATCTAAACCACATTATCTCCCCACTTTTTCATTCTGCTCTTTTTCCGACCCCTTTCCTGATCGAACCTCTCTGGGGATGACGAATGGAAACGGGTTAAAAACGTCTACTATTACACATTTCATATTTATGATTCAGTCATGATTCCACGTTAAGATAAGAGCCGACACGCAATCTATGGCCCGTGCACTTCCTTGGATCTCTGTATAACCATGAAGCCGTCGGGCGACATGGGGAGATCTGGTGGCTTTTACCTAACCTAACCCCCTTGGTAACCCTGACCCTAACCCCCTTGGTAACCCTGACCCTGACCCCCTTGGTAACCCTGACCCTGACCCCCTTGGTAACCCTGACCCTGACCCTGACCCCCTTGGGAGACTTCCTCCACACATTCCGATGGGCAATTAGTTTGAAACAAACAGAGGGGGGATGATAGAGCTTTGTCACACCAATGATGGCCGACAGACCCTTTCAGGGTTAAGGGATAGTGGATAGGAGAATTCAAAAGGACTTAGGAGAAGAGACTGCGGTACTTTAGAGAATCGACTGCACTTTCACTATCCCACGTGTTTATGATGCGCCAGCGGACGTCATTTTGTGCGTCTGCTGCTGTGGGGAAACTATGGAAACTACAGTTTTCTATAGCGGACTACAACATGGATGTTCAATAAGAACGAGGGACTACTGTTAGAAATTGCATATGTGTCACCTTCCTGTCCACAAGAGGCACTGTGTAGGGAAGCAGGTAGAACTTCATCATAGGCTATAAATAGAGGCCTGGATGAGGACTTCGTCCTCTTCCTCCTCGAACACCAGGATTGAGTGTTTGCTAGCTGTTCGCCATGTGTCTTTTGATTTAACAATGTAAGTAGAATCCTCTTTGTAATTATGATGTTTGCACCTGAGTAACCTCAATGGTATTAAACCATAGTATTAAACACATTTGTTGTTCAATGTAATAATGAATATAATTTAGTTCCAATTTGATATAATTACGGCAGACATATTTGTTAACTTTAATTTGCAAGTAATATAAGTATTATTTTAATGTGCAAATGCTGTAATCAGTTTGTTTCACCTTTTCTACTAGAACCATTGGCAACAGCTACCATCCCCCCAACTGAATACCCTGATAAATAAAACAAAGACGTTTAAACTCCTGTCTCCTGGTGGTTTGTGGCTCCAGTCTGAACATTCATCTCCAACAACTTCTGTAAACTCATCTAGAGACTCTGTGCTCTGATGCTGTTGCTTTATGCTTTATGAACGTGGACAACAGAGAAACAGATTCTTCAGGACCAAAGTTGGAATTGAAATAAAAAAGGAAAGTGAAACTTCTGCTCGTCACCCTCTCCCTCCGGTCCACATTAATACAAATGATCCCAATACGTATGATTGAAAAAAAGATCTTAAATCAATACAGATGTATTTATTATAAACGTTAGTCCTTAACATCTATCACTGTGTATATCACCATTCAAACATCTGGGGGGGGGAGCTGTGGCTGAGGGGGCCATCACGTGGGTAAACACACAGCTGATCCCTGAGAGCTGCCGTCTGATTTGAACATTGCACTATGAACTCAATGTGTGATTGTTATAGCAGTGATATTAAACACTAATAACACAGTCAACTGTTAACAATAGTATCATATTAGAGCCCGTTTGCCCGTGGGGAGATGACGAGGCTTCACTAAAAATAAACCTCTTTTTAGTGAATTACTGAGTTTGGGCACGTTAATAACGTGTTAATGAAGTTGACTACAGTAGATTCATATTCGTCAGTGCTTTCGTGTCAATTCGGCGAACATAAACATAAATGATGGTGAAGATGATGATTACATTAGGATTACAAATCGGTAGTGAGAGCTGCTGCATTTCCTCCCGTCGGATGTGATTTAAAAATAAACCGATTATTTGTGTAGTTGTAAACTCACGTGGATTAAACCACATTTATTAGTGCTTTCATGTCAATTCGGCGAACATGTGATACATTAAATGATCGTGAGGATGATGATTACAAATCGTTTGTTTGAGCCGGACTGCACTTCCTGATAAAAAACAAACCGATGCTTTTGTGTCGTTACGCCAGTGGTTCTCAAAGTGGGGGGCGCGCCCCCCCTGGGGGGCGCAGAGGCATGCCAGGGGGGGCGCGAGAGACCAGGAGGAAAAATGGTTATTAAAAAAAAATTAAAAAATCATAATTTGAAAGATGTATTCGAAAATAATATGATGCAGTACAGTACTATTACATCTGTGTTTCATTAAAGCTCGGCTCTGTGTGTGTGTGGAACGAGCCATTTTGTGTGCGCGAGCGAGAGAGAGAGAGAGAGAGAGAGCGCACCGGTACCGGAGATCGTTGTTGTTAGCTTCTGGTGCTAGCGAGCTATGCTAACGGATATAAGGAGTTTTTTCAACAACAAAGTGGAGGAGAGTCCTCTCCTGTCAGACTGAGAGACTCAGTGAACTAAAGGACTCTCAGTGTTATCAGGAGTGTTATCTCAGTGGGTCTCAAACGTTTTGGTCACCATTAATGTAAACAACTATTTCCGAGGCACACATTTATATGATCATTATAGTTTAAAAAAAATAGAGAATAAATCAAAAACAGCTATGAAATACTATATGACAGTAAAACAAGAATAAAGTTTAAAAGGGGAGTGATTTGTAAAATATCTATAAAGAAATAGAAAATCTGTTTCCAGTTCTGTTTCATATGGGTGTTGAGAGAGGTATCTAGATCTCTTAATTTTGCTCTCAAAGTGCACCAGATTAATGCATTTAACTTCAAGATTGAAAACAATATCTTCCCGGGGGAGCTTGCCCCCGGACCCCCCTATGTTAGGTCCACACACCACCTATGAAAATAGCACTTTACCCCTGCTTACACCTATATGCCGTGAGCTGATTATCGAGCCTTCATTGTAACAGTCGCGGGTACGTTGTGTATGTGCATGGGGAGTGTTGCAGTAGAAAATTAAACTGTAGCGACCGGTACATTAATGGGAAACCCTAAATGTTTGAGCACCCTCTATGAAACATCAAGCTACCCCACAGCACCCCCAAAATAAATCTCTGGCGCCGCCACTGGGCCTGACTATTTGTGTTGGGGGGGCCCGATCTTTTTTTTTCTCCAAAGGGGGGGCCTGACAGAAAAAGTTTGAGAACCACTGCGTTACACCAACGTGGATTCAACAACATTATTTTGTTGGTGATGTTTTGTAAATGATTACATGTCTCTAGCACAGAGTATGATCCTATCCGTGACATATGGATCTTAACAAAGATCCGCTATATCAGATTCCTGTAGATCTATCAGCTGTTTACTGTGGCAGCTTTTCATCATGGCTCCCCCTGGTGGATCCACGATCCATTGCAGCTGCTTTCATTATCATTTAATTTATTTATCAAGGGGCGTATCAAGTCCTGCGGGGGGGGTTTCCTTTCAGCGAAGGCCCACCCTGTGCCGATCACGGCCCCACATCGATAGTCCTGGTCCTACCTGTAGAACTGGTCTTGGAGCACGGCGTAGATCAGACCCAGACCCAGCAGGGAGTCCAGGACCACGGTCAGGATCTCTATGGAGACGATGTTGGGGTCAGAGGTCAGCCAGCGGCGGTCCGCCTTCCCGTACTCCTTCCCTGCCGATCAATACCTCAGATACTCATGATCAATAAATAATACAATAAACTCACAGATCAATACCTCAGATACTCATGATCAATAATAATAATAATAATAACAGTAGACTCACAGAGCTCCGCCAGAGGACCCTCTGAAGTCTCCACCGTCCGCCCCCCCACAGACATGTACACAAATGGACCCTCCTAGACACAAATCAAACATAAACAACAATGAAAAACACTAATCAACAAACAGAGAGATCCTGATTGGTCAGGTGGACGATTACGTCATAGAAGAGCCACAGCACCACCCACCTGTCCGGCCCTAAGCCCCGCCCCCCACACCTGTGGGTTAACATCACCGCGGCTAACAGCTGCAGGCTACATGCTAACAGAGACCAGAAGGAGACCAGAGACAGGCCGGAGTCCATGGCAGAGGAGGAGAAGAAGAGAATAAACTGCAGTTCTCAGCTGGAGAATCAAGACGTTAGGTCCCACCCCAGCCTCTCTATTGGTTGTTTTGGCTCTAAACCCCGCCCCGTCCTCCCATTGGCTACTGAGATCAGCCCACTTCCTGGCCCCGCCCCCTTCCAGAGAGAACCTGACTCCATTCACAGCAAATTCATAAATACTTTCATATATTCATGTGTTTACATGTTTATATAAAAACATGAATATATACATATCAATAAATAAATATATATATAATATATCTGTCCTTCAAATGAGAATCCGACATTATTAGGATTTTTAACTTCTTCTTCTTCTTATATTAATTACAATATTAATTATTCTATTAATTATGCTATACATCATTATAGTAATCATTATAGTTATTATTTTAGTAATTATTGTTATAGTAATTATTGTTATAAATAATGAAACAGGGTGCAGTTCCCTGTGCGGCCGCTCGGCACTGTGGAGCCGCCTCTCTCCAGCAGCAGAAGAAGAGACAGACCGGAAACTCAACAGATAGAGAAGCTGCGCGCTACGGAGGGAGAATTTATCCTGAAAGTAAACAACAACAAAGACCAGCTGCTGGTAAACGAACAACAGGTAAACACAGGGCCGCCCCTGGCCAACCTGGGGCCCCAAGCGACATTGTGAGATGAGCCCCCCCCCCCCAACCGACAGGAGTGAAAAAATAATAATTTGGAAACAAAGTACTTTGCAAATATAATTCCTGTTTATTATTATTATCAACAGTTACTTTTTTACACAGTGAGGTGAATGGTAAATGTGCCTGCATGTCGTTCAGGATGCGTTTACAGGTGCGTCTTCATTTCCTGCCAAATACTAGCCTCAAAAAGATTACAATATAATTAATGCAAATAAACTACTTCTACAAATAATAATAATCATAATCATAATCAATTCAATAATATAAATACTATATTATTTTATTATAATATAGTTGTAATATAGTCAAGACAAAACATGCTTATTTCATGCTCAAAAACTGATGTTTCTTAAATCTGTATTCTAGTTCCCTCTGTCAGCAATATATCAACAACTACACACGCATTGCTATCAGTATTTCTCTGTGTTGTGGTTGACATGATGATGACTGCAGGGGGGTATACTACGAAGCAGGATGTTCTCTTAGCGGCTAACTTCAGGTAAACTCTGGGTTTCCGGTCCTACGACGCGGGTTCTCTTTTTAGCGGGCTAGATCTCCATGGTAACTGATGCTGAGCGGCTAGCCTGTTCCGGAGCAGATGCTTGCAGAGAAATCCCTCAGATCAAACGTTCAAACTGAACGCTGTAGGCTACAAGAATGTAGCCGCGGCAGAGTCCTGCACGGGTCTGATTTTCAAGACCCGCACCCGCGACGTGCAATACCGAACCCGCCCCGCTACCCGCACATATTGCCAATTAGTTCCGCAACCCGACCCGAACCCGCATAGCCTATATATGAGCAGTGAAAACGTGCAATTATTAACACACGCAGGTGCATATTTGGCTCAGTGTGGGATGTTGGTTATTTTCTCATCTAGGAACCAAAAGCCTCCAGACGTTGGGTTTCGCTCTTGAGGAAGTGTTATTGAAAATGCTTTATTCTCCGCTAGAGAGATTCAGCTCAGCCATTTCGAATGTGGCGCACAGCAGCAGACTGATGCGCTGCAGAGGTTATGATTATGCGCGGTCCCGCGGGGGGGAGAGGTCTGAGGATTCAAACATTAAACTAAATTATTATTATTTTAATATATTTATAATACTACACCCGCGACCCGACCCGCATCATCTTTGTTTTACCCAGAACCGAACCCGGAAAAAAGCGTTTAAAAAAATATCACTCGCGAATCACTTTTTTTGCGGGTCACCCGTCGGGTACCCGACCCGATGCAGGACTGAGCCGCAGTACTCTCGCGCAGCAAGAGGATGAAAAGGAACCGATCTGCTAATGACGCCGGCCTATGTAGCCGTCGTCACGTGGGTCACAGGTTTTGATTTGATATACTTTATTAATCCCCGTGGGGAAATTGTTTCTCTGCATTTGACCCATCCTGGTGTTAGGAGCAGTGTGCTGCCATTTTGAACGGCGCCCGGGGAGCAGTGTAGGGAACGGTGCCTTGCTCAGGGACACCTCGGTAGCACTTGGTCTTGCCGGGACTTGAATTGGTGACCTTCCAGTTGCCAAGCCAAGTCCCTATCGACTTCGCCACCACCGCCCTAACTGATGAGTTAGGGCGGTGAGGTGACTTTGTTGTTATTAGGTACTCGAACTGCGCATGCGCGCGATGGACACATCCAGTGCTAAAGCACCGCCTCTGGCGGTCAGTAGGGATAAAATAGAACACACCTCTATAATGGCTCCCAGGTAACCAAATCAAACACACCTCTATAACGACCGCAGGTAACTAAATCAAACACACCTCTATAACGACCGCAGGTCACTAAATCAAACACACCTCTATAATGACCCCAGGTAACCAAATCAAACACACCTCTATAATGACCCCAGGTAACTAAATCAAACACACCTCTATAATGACCCAGGTAACTAAATCAAACACACCTCTATAATGACCCCAGGTAACTAAATCAAACACACCTCTATAATGACCCCAGGTAACTAAATCAAACACACCTCTATAATGATCCCAGGTAACTAAATCAAACACACCTCTATAATGACCCCAGGTAACTAAATCAAACACACCTGCCCGGTGTTTGATTTGTTTGTGTCTCCTTCAGGCCGCCTCACGCTGACATCCCGACAGTCTCCACCCCCCTGCGTCTGAGGGAGGAGCCGACCAATCAGATAGGTGAGGGGGCAGGTCAGGAGAGGCTGTCTGCACTAATCAGAGAGCAGCATGGAGGGCCCGCCTCCTTTGCACAGACCCCGCCCCCCGTCCACAGAAAAGCCCATAGGAAGACCAACAGGAGGAAAACAAGCGATTCCTCCACCCCCCCTCCACCCACAGGCCACCCCCCCCTCCACCCACAGGCCACGCCCCCCCCCCCCCCCCCCCCCCCGGGCCCGGGCAGTGCTGGCAGCAGGAGAGGAGGGCAGGGCTGAAAGTAGAGGCGTTCTCTTCAGACCAGAGCGACTCCATGGACCGGACCATCGAGCAGGTGAGTCTGTCAGGTGATCAGCTGTTCTCAGGTGTGGTAACAGGTGTTCTCTGTGTTTCAGGTGATCCAGGTGTGTTGTCACGGCTCCTCAGACAGCTTCCACTTCAGCCTGCCGGTCTCCATGGAGACGCAGAGTGAGGGATGGGACTTACCTGTACCGGTAGGAGCAGCAGAACCAGCAGGTAGGGTGCGGGAACGGGCCACACCTCTCACTGTGTGCGTGTGTGTGTCCACAGCGAGGCCTGGAGGACACACCTGTGCAGGTGAGCCGGGAAGACCTGTGCCGGCTGACGGAGGCTCACCTGCAGCAGCACCTGTACTCCGCCAGGTTGGACTCCGCCCTCCAGGGGGGTGGGGCTTGGCGGGACGATGGCTTCCTGTCTCTGCCCATAGAGGAAGTGCTGCCGGTGCCTCAACATATCCCAGAATCCTTCAGGGGAAAGAGCTGGAACCAGATTCACCTGGAGGACGAGGAGCAGGTGGAGAGGCTGGTGAGACAGTTCAGGGGCGGAGCCTTCCTCTGCTACTTCGACTCCGAGTCACTGGCCAGGTAACACACACCTGTTCACACTCACCTGTTCACACTCACCTGTTCACACTCACCCGTACACACACTCACCTGTTCCTCTCTCCACACACTCACCTGTTCACACACACCTGTCCACACACTCACCTGTCCACACTCACCCGTACACACACTCACCTGTCCACACTCACCTGTCCACACACTCACCTGTTCACACACACCTGTCCACACTCACCTGTTCACACTCACCCGTACACACACTCACCTGTCCACACTCACCTGTCCACACACTCACCTGTCCACACACTCACCTGTCCACACACTCACCTGTCCACACTCACCTGTCCACACACTCACCTGTCCACACTCACCTGTCCACACACTCACCTGTCCACACACACACCTGTACCACACACCTATAGTTCACTGACTCCCCCCTCAGGTACGGGAGGAGGTGGAGTCAGATCCAGAAAGGTGGAGGTGAGAACCTGGAGGCGGAGTCTGACCCCGGCTTCCAGCTCCTATTGGACGGTGATGAGTAGGTGTGCGTCAGGAGGAGGCGTGGTTTCAGAGTGGCGTCCAGGTGAGACAGAGGGGGGGTCCTCCTCACCTGTCTGTGTTCCTGCAGGTGGTGAAGGTGAGTCGCAGCACTCAGACCGTCCGGTTGGTCGTCCCAGCTGTCCGTCAGTCAGAGGCCCCGCCCTCCGGAGTCCCAGCAGCCAATCAGGAAGCCGAGAGGACTCCTGCGTCGTGGCGCTGCCTCCCTGCAGAGTATTACGACATCCTGACTCCTCTGCAGCCGCGCAGCTCCCTGATCTACCTGCTGAGCCCCGCCCCCCCCCCATTCACCTGCATCAGGCCCCGCCCCCCTATACACAGGCTCTGCCCCCCGGCGCTGCAGGAAGAGGCGCCCGCAGGCCTGTCAGGGGTCCAAAGTCAAATACAAACCACTTCCTGTCCGCTTCTACAACCCCACCAGCAACCGCATCCTGAAGCACCCGCCCCCCTCCCGAGGCCCCACCCCTTCATGCCCCCCCCCCCTCCCTGTGTCCGTCAGCTGTTCCGCAGTCTGAGTCCGGACCTGAACACTGAGGGGGAGGGGCCTTCCAGGATCAAAGCCCCGCCCCCTCAGGAAAACCTCTCAGGCGGCCCCTCCCTCCCGCAGGGGGAGCGGCCGCCGGGGTAACTGCCCTTCAAAATAAAATGTAATATCTGTATTCTCTCTGAGAGATCATATAATTAATAATGAATGTATTATTCAGGGGGGTCTTTAATATGTTTATAAAGGTTTACAGGAACTCTGGACATTTAAAAAGGTCATTCAATTGGATTTCATTATTATTTAAACAAATACATGAAGTGCACCCGTCATCCTGTCGGCAGCTGTAACACATGTTCCCGTGTGTAAAGTTTATCAGTGCTTATGTTCAGTTCTCACAGCGTCCACCAGGCGGAGGATGGAGTCGCCCACCTGCTCCGCTGACAACTGAAGCCCCGCCCACTTCCTCTCACCTGCACACAGGAAGTCAGAAACAAATATCTAACAAAATAAAGCTCCATGTTCACACAAATATAATAACCTGATCAAATATAAAGTTACTGGTTAGAGGCTCACCTGTCTGTCTCTCTGTCCACCTTTCTGTCTGCATCTCTGTCTTCAGTCTGTCTGCCGTCTGCTGCAGCTGCTGCTCCAAACTACATTTCCCACAATCCTCCTCTCCCTGTAGCCCCGCCTCCTGAGCTACCTCTCCCCGTAGCCCCACCTCCTGAGCTGCATCCTGTTGTCCTATTGGACAGCTAGGCTCCTCCTCCTCGCCAGAGTGGCTGTCATGTGATTGAGGAGTGTGCTGGTGCATTGTGGGGGATGGAGTTTGTAGTTCTTCCTCACTCCACTCGTCCTCTGTCCTCAAAAAAACCTCTTCTTCATCTTCCTCTTCTTCTTTGCATTCCGTGTCATGAATTGGTGTCAGGTTTTGTCTCTCCGTGTTCCCCCTGGTTAGCATGTTGTCTGGAGTTAGCGTGTTCCCCCTGGTTAGCATGTTGTCTGGAGTTAGCGTGTTCCCCCTGGTTAGCATGTTGTCTGGAGTTAGCGTGTTCCCCCTGGTTAGCATGTTGTCTGTAGTTAGCGTGTTCCCCCTGGTTAGCATGTTGTCTGTAGTTAGCGTATTCCCCCTGGTTAGCATGTTGTCTGTAGATAGCGTGTTCCCCCTGGTTAGCATGTTGTCTGTAGTTAGCGTGTTCCCCTTGGTTAGCATGTTGTCTGGAGTTAGCGTGTTCCCCCTGGTTAGCATGTTGTCTGTAGTTAGCGTGTTCCCCCTGGTTAGCATGTTGTCTGTAGTTAGCGTGTTCCCCCTGGTTAGCATGTTGTCTGTAGTTAGCGTGTTCCCCCTGGTTAGCATGTTGTCTGGAGTTAGCGTGTTCCCCCTGGTTAGCATGTTGTCTGGAGTTAGCGTGTTCCCCCTGGTTAGCATGTTGTCTGGAGTTAGCGTGTTCCCCCTGGTTAGCATGTTGTCTGGAGTTAGCGTGTTCCCCCTGGTTATCATGTTGTCTGTAGTTAGCCTGTTCCCCCTGGTTAGCATGTTGTCTGTAGTTAGCGTGTTCCCCCTGGTTAGCATGTTGTCTGGAGTTAGCGTGTTCCCCCTGGTTAGCATGTTGTCTGGAGTTAGCGTGTTCCCCCTGGTTAGCATGTTGTCTGTAGTTAGCGTATTCCCCCTGGTTAGCATGTTGTCTGGAGTTAGCGTGTTCCCCCTGGTTATCATGTTGTCTGGAGTTAGCGTGTTCCCCCTGGTTAGCATGTTGTCTGTAGTTAGCGTATTCCCCCTGGTTAGCATGTTGTCTGTAGATAGCGTGTTCCCCCTGGTTAGCATGTTGTCTGTAGTTAGAGTGTTCCCCCTGGTTAGCATGTTGTCTGGAGTTAGCGTGTTCCCCTTGGTTAGCATGTTGTCTGGAGTTAGCGTGTTCCCCCTGGTTAGCATGTTGTCTGTAGTTAGCGTGTTCCCCCTGGTTAGCATGTTGTCTGGAGTTAGCGTGTTCCCCTGGTTAGCATGTTGTCTGTAGTTAGCGTGTTCCCCCTGGTTAGCATGTTGTCTGTAGTTAGCGTGTTCCCCCTGGTTAGCATGTTTGTCTGGAGGGATAGCGTGTTCCCCCTGGTTAGCATGTTGTCTGTAGTTAGCGTGTTCCCCCCTGGTTAGCATGTTGTCTGGAGTTAGCGTGTTCCCCCTGGTTAGCATTTTGTCTGTAGTTAGCGTGTTCCCCCTGGTTAGCATGTTGTCTGTAGTTAGCGTGTTCCCCTGGTTAGCATGTTGTCTGGAGTTAGCGTGTTCCCCCTGGTTAGCATGTTGTCTGAGTTAGCGTGTTCCCCCTGGTTAGCATGTGTCTGTAGTTAGCGTTCCCCTGGTTAGCATGTTGTCTGTAGTTAGCGTGTTTCTGTGTTCCCCCTGGTTAGCATGTTGTCTGGAGTTAGCGTGTTCCCCCTGGTTAGCATGTTGTCTGTAGTTAGCATGTTGTTCCTGAGTTAGCAGTGTTCCCCTGTAGTTAGCATGTTGTCTGTAGTTAGCGTGTTCCCCCTGGTTAGCATGTTGTCTGGAGTTAGCGTGTTCCCCCTGGTTAGCGTGTTGTCTGGAGTTAGCATGTTCCCCCTGGTTAGCATGTTGTCTGGAGTTAGCATGTTCCCCCTGGTTAGCATGTTGTCTGTAGTTAGCGTGTTCTCTGTGTTCCCCCTGGTTAGCATGTTGTCTGGAGTTAGCATGTTCCCCCTGGTTAGCATGTTGTCTGTAGTTAGCGTGTTCCCCCTGGTTAGCATGTTGTCTGTAGTTAGCGTGTTCCCCCTGGTTAGCATGTTGTCTGTAGTTAGCGTGTTCTCTGTGTTCCCCCTGGTTAGCATGTTGTCTGGAGTTAGCGTGTTCTCCATGTTTAGCATGTTGTCTGGAGTTTTCGTGTTCCCCCTGGTTAGCATGTTGTCTGTAGTTAGCGTGTTCCCCCTGGTTAGCATGTTGTCTGGAGTTAGCGTGTTCCCCCTGGTTAGCATGTTGTCTGTAGTTAGCGTGTTCCCCCTGGTTAGCATGTTGTCTGGAGTTAGCGTGTTCCCCCTGGTTAGCATGTTGTCTGTAGTTAGCGTGTTCTCTGTGTTCCCCCTGGTTAGCATGTTCTCCGTGGTCCCCCTGGTTAGCATGTTCTCCGTGTTGTTGCCGTGTTGTTGAGTCTCCATGTTGGTCACCGCCTGAAGAGGAACATCAGTCAGAGGAGAGAAACTACACCTCCCACGATGCACCTGGTCTGTATGCAGGTATATTACCTGAGTGAGTTTGCGCTGCAGGTGCAGGTTGTTCTCTCTCAGCGTCACCATGGTAACCTCCATCTCTGAACACCTGTCCTCCAGAACGCCCTGCTCTGATTGGACGGTGAGACGCCACACCTGTAGCTGCTGCTCCATTAACCTGAAGAGGAAGAGGATGATGATGATGAGGAAGAGGAGGAGAGGATGAGGAAGAGGAGGAGGAGGAGGAACAGCTGTAGTTTTCTCACCATTTGTCTCTCTGCAGGTTTCTGACTTCAGTCAACAGGACAGACGCATTCAGCTGATCAACAACAACAACAACAATATAACTATTAGATTAAGTAATGTAACTAATTGTTTAATTGATTGTTTACCTGCGGAGGCTCCTCCTCCGTCTGCAGAGCTTTGGAGGAGGTGGGAGGATGCACTGATGCATTCTGGGAGACGGAGTCTTCAGAGGGGGGCGGGGCGCTGATGAACAAAATAAACACATTCATAGCGAAGAGTTCACTAACAAGGTTAACGAGACACTCGCCTGACTCACCTGTCCTGAGGCTCCGCCCACTCCAGGCCCCGCCTCCTGCCTGCCTCTCTCTGGGTCTGTCTCCGTGGCAACAGCGTGTAACGAGCGCTGCGTGCTAACGAGGACAGAGACTCCCTCCAGGTGGGCTGCAACAGTCAATTAACTCACCTGTGTGAGTGTTTGAGTGTTTGCGTGTGAGTGAGAGTGTGTGTGTGTGTGTGTACCTGTGTGCAGAACTCCAGCACAGGGTGGTGTGTGTTGTGTCTCCTGGAGTGTTTCTCCTTCAAGTAGCAGCTCTGGCAGAGGTGGACGTTCACACACTTCATACAGCGATACCTGAAAACAAGAGTAGCGCTCTGGTTGGCTGACGGTAAACAACTGTTCTGATTAGCTGACGGTAAACAACTGTTCTGATTGGCTCACAGTAAACAAAGCATTCTGAGGGGATCACGTGATGCAGCGAAGCTAGGTAGACGCTAGCCCAGGGGCTCTCCATCCTAATTCAATTTAAAACCTTTAAAAACACCCAACTCCACTTTTAATTTGGTCGGACGAATGCACCATGGACTTGAGATCAAGGAGCAAAGAACAACCTTCAGCTGATGAGCAAATTCTTACATCTATAGAGAAAATTACTCCCGAGACTTGTGAGCAAGAAGTTTGTGTAATGGCGCAGCAACACCTGAGCGGAGGAGACTCACTTATCCTTCAAGAGATTAGAAATGGCAATCGAGCTCTCTCCAGTAAACTCGACTCCAAAACCGCAGAAATTAATCAGTCTATCTCCGGACTGAAATCTATGCTGGGTAAGTTGAGCTCCCGGGTAACCGATGCGGAGGACCAGCTGGTGTACCTGGACTCGTGTTGTCAAGTTAAGAAAATAAAATGACTTTTTGATGGAGAAGGTCGACCAGCTTAAGAACCACAGCCGACGCAATAATATATGTGTCATTAATCTCGGGGAAAGCTGCAAGGGAAACGATCCTGTAAACGTTTTTGTTAACTGGATCCCAGCCACCTTGGGACAAGAGCATTTTACCGAGCCCCTGATAATAGAGCGGGCACATCGGGCTTTTGGACCCCGTCCATCTGCAGACCAGAGACCGCGTCCTGTTCTGATACGGCTGCTCAAATGCCAAGACCGAGACAAGATCCTGCGCATCGCCGCACAGCGGTCCAGAGAAAATAAGGGTCCCATCAAGTACGACGGTAAGCCTGTGCTGTTTTTCCCCGACCTAAGCGCCATCTTGGTGAAACGCAGAAAGGAGTATGACCGGGTTAAGACGGAGCTTCGGTCCAGGGATATTCTATTTGCCTTACTCCTTCCTGCAACATTGAGGATCACACTCCCCGATGGAGGGAGAAGATTCTTCCAAACACCAAAGGAGGCGGCGGCATTCCTGCGTGAGACTCCAGCAGGACCTCAACGGAAATAACAGGTGTTTGAAAATCAGTCGGGCCACCGTAGTTCCCACGAGTTGCCGTGTCTTCATGTTTAAAACTGTAGTCACTATTGGTATATTAAACATTCTAGATAATACAAGGGATGACAGCATTCAAAGTGTACATTTGTTAGACTGGTTTCATAGATACCGTATTAGGTCATTTCAAACAGGTTTTTTTTCTTCAGTATTTGTAAACACTTTGTTTCACTCAATATCGGATACTTTGATATGATAATCCATTTTCAGAACGAGCCTTGGGTTTAGTGAGATGTGCATTGTATTAGCCAGACATGCCACGCTTGTTAAGTGCAAGGTGCACATCCCAATTTGAGGGGTAGATGGTGCCGGATGTTCAGGAGTAGGCACTTTCTTTGTCTCTATTGTCAGTGCTTTATCTTACTTTTTGCCACTTTACTGAGGAGATACATTTACACTTACATGGTGACTTCTCAAAGAGGCCGTAATACCATGATCATTGTATACTCTTATTGTTGATGAACAGGGCAGTGACATTTGTTAGCTTTAATGTGAATGGACTAAACGGACCGGTTCAAAGGAAAAGAGTCTCGACACACCGGAAAAAACTGCAAATTGATATTGCTTTTATACAAGAAACCCATCTTACCGCACAGGAGCATAAGACACTGAGGAGAGGATGGGTAGGACATGTAGTTTCATCATCCTTTGACACCAAAGCCAGGGGAGTAGTATGTATTAGTTATTGTCAGATTTACTCAGAACCCTGGACACTTTTAAACGTATACGCACCCAACCATGATGATGCATCCTTTATTCAAGATATCTTTCTTAAGGTATCAGGGGGACGACAACACACACTGGTAGGGGGTGATTTTTATTTATGCCTGGATCCTATTCTGGATAAGTCATCCTTGGCAGCATCTAAATCAAAAGCTGCCAAAACCACCCTGGCATTTATGAAAGATCTAAATTTGACAGATGTTTGGAGACGGATGCACCCTCAAATAGACACTACTCTTTCTATTCCTGTCCCCATAAGTCTCATACTAGGATTGACCTTTTTCTCTTATCAACGCAGCTAGTTCATAGAGCATTGGAATCTGAATATTTATCTAGGACCCTGTCTGATCATTCTCCTTTGACCCTTTCTATTTTGATGCCAGAAAAAACAAATAACTCATATAGATGGCGACTGAACCCTACCCTTCTTCAAAAACCAGATGTGTGCATGTTAGGGACCAGATAAAGCTATTCTGCAAGACTAACTGTCCTTCCTCCCCAATAGTTTTATACTGTGGGACTTAAAGCTTATTTAAGGGGACAAATAATCTCTTATACAAAAGGTATTAAAAAGAAATATATGGCAGAAATAGAAAAACTGGAAACAGATATTTTGAAATTGGAAAAGGAGTTTCAACAATCTGGGTCCAAGGTATTAATTATACCAATCGCTGTTAAACATGAAGCTCAAATACAATACGCTGCACAAGTGTGCAGCGTATAACATTATTATTATTATTATTATTATTATTATTATAACATTGAAAAAGCCATTTTAAGAACTAAACAAAGGTATTATGAATTGGGAGAGAAGGCACATACAATTCTGTCCTGGCAACTGAGAAGGGAGGAAAGCTCAAGAACAATTAACGCAATTCAAACTGAAGCGGGTTCAATAATAACCCGGTAGAAATCAATGACACATTTAAACAGTTTTATGCAAATGTATATACATCGGAATCACCAGAAGATCTGACTAACATTGATGAATTCCTGTCCACTATTGACTTGCCAAAGCTTGGCCAAGAAGACCAAAATAAACTTGATCTTCCCTACACCATCCATCCATCTTCTCCCGCTTATCCGTGGTCGGGTCTCGGAGGTAGCAGTTCCAGCAGAGAGCCCCAAACTTTATTTTCCCTGGCGACATCAACCAGCTCTGATGGGGGATCCCAAGGCGCTCCCAGGCCAGCGAAGAGATATAATCCCTCCACCTGGTCCTAGGTCTACCCCTCGGTCTCTTCCCAGCTGGACGTGCCTGGAACACCTCCCTAGGGAGGCGCCCAGGTGGCATCCTAACTAGGTGCCCGAACCACCTCAACTGGCTCCTTTCGACGCGAAGGAGGAGCGGCTCAACTCCGAGTCCCTCCCTGATGACCGAACTTCTCACCTTATCCCTAAGGGAGACGCCAGCCACCCTGCGGAGAAAACCCATCTCGGCCGCTTGTATCCGCGATCTCGTTCTTTGGGTCATGACCCATCCTTCATGACCATAGGTGAAGGTAACGAAAATGGCCCGGTAGACAGAGAGCTTTGCCTTCTGGCTCAGCTCCCTTTTCGTCACAACGGTGCGGTAAAGCGACTGCAGTACCGCTCCCGCTGCTCCGATTCTCCGGCCCATCTCACGCTCCATTGTTCCCTCACTCAAGAACAAGACCCCGAGATACTTGAACTCCTTCACTTGGGGTAAGGACTCATTCCCTACTTGGAGTGGACAGTCCATCGGTTTCCTGTTGAGAACCATGGCCTCAGATTTGGAGGTGCTGATCCTCATCCCAGCCGCTTCACACTCGTTTGCGAACCGATCCAGTGAGTGCTGAAGGTCGCAGACCGATGAAGCCATTAGAACCACATCATCTGCAAAAAGCAGTGGTGCAATCCTTAGTCCACCGAACTGCAGACCCCCTCCCCCACGACTACACCTCGAAATCCGATCCATGTATATTACAAACAGGATTGGTGACAAAGCGCAGCCCTGGCGGAGGCCAACCCTCACCGGAAATGGGTCCGACTTACTGCCGAGGACCCGGACACAGCTCTCGCTTTGAGAGTACAGAGATTGGATGGCCCTGAGTAGAGACTCCCTCACCCCATACTCCCGCAGCACCTCCCACAGTAACTCCCTGGGAACTCGGTCATACGCCTTCTCCAAGTCTACAAAACACATGTAGACCGGATAAGCGTACTCCCAGGCCCCCCTCCAGGATCCTTGCGAGAGTAAAAAGCTGATCCGTCGTTCCACGACCAGGACGGAATCCGCATTGTTCCTCCTCAATCTGAGGTTCGACAATCGGCCTGACCCTCCTTTCGAGTACCTTAGAGTAAACTTTCCCGGGGAGGCTGAGTAGTGTGATGCCTCTGTAATTGGCAAACACCCTCTGATCCCCCTTTTTGAAAAGGGGAACCACCACCCCGGTCTGCCACTCCTTCGGTACTGTTTCCGACTTCCACGCAACGTTGATGAGACGTGTCAACCATGACAGTCCCTCAACACCCAGAGCCTTCAGCATTTCTGGGCGGATCTCACCCACCCCCGGGGCTTTAATCTTCCCTACACTCAGAAAGAAATTGAAAAGGCTTTGGGCTTATTGCAATCTAATACATCGCCGGGGGAAGATGGTTTCCCACCAGAATTCTACAGAGAATTTAAGGATTTACTCATCCCACTCATCATGGATGTAATTAACTTAGCATCAAAAACTCAAACTCTGCCCGAATCATTCTCTACTGCCATAATGACTGTGATCCACAAACAAAATAAAGATCCATTAAAGTGCTCTTCATTTCGACCTATTTCATTATTGAATTCGGATTATAAATGAATATCTAAGGCCGGCTAACAGGCTTCGCCAATGTTTGCCACAATTAATTAATCCGGACCAGAGTGGTTTTATTTCTAAACGTTCATCAGCTGATAACTTATGTAGGCTATTTAATATTATCCACTTAACAAAGTCAAAGACTGAGCCCAGTAGAGCTGCAGCTTTAGACGCTGAAAAGGCCTTCGACCGGCTGGAGTGGCCATATCTATTTAAAGTCTTGGCCAAGTTTGGGTTTGGTCAGTTGTTTATTAATTGGGTTAAAACTCTTTATCATGAACCCCGAGACAAAATGACTTCTAATGGTCAGATC